CCCCCCCCCCCCCCCTAAGATACTGTAGGCCATTATTGACTGGTAAAGAGTAGCAATATGGTATTGGGGCATTCGCATGATAATCTCAAATTAATGTTACGAATTAGCATAATGTAGATCGTCCAATTCTTCTGGAAAATACAACCAAGAATATGTACCACATTTATAATGAAGTCTCCTACGTAAAGATGAGGATAACTTTTGGTCTCCTTATCTTTATATGCTTATTGGAAATTTTCCTGGGCAGGCAAAGTCTTAAAAATTTTTAATCTAAAAATTCAAAAATGTTCTAAAAATATGCTTTGTACGGGAATTGAATTTGAGTGTCTCTGCAAATACGCTAGAAATCTTCTACAATAGTGCTGATAATATTAATAATAATAATAATAATAATAATAATAATAATAATAATAATAATAATAATAATAATAACAAGAACAACAAGAACAACAAGAACAACAACAACAACAACAAAAACAACAATAATCTACTATAAATTTCGATAATAATTATCATAATTTTAATGCAATATATAAGTTTAAACTTGCCAATATTACTTTATCATCAGTCGTTTTATTTTAAAATATATATGGTAATTAAATTCTTGATTGTCAAATATTGTATTTAGTAATAATGTTTATTTAAAATATGGACATGAATATTGTATGGCTAAACAAAAATATTTCGACGTAATAGTTCTGGAAAAAATATTTGTATCTAAGAGTCAAATATATAAACATGTTGGTATAATGAAATTACATGTTAATTTGGAATAATAATAATGAAGTTAAAATTATGAATTTATCAATGTTATTGTTGTAGATTAAATTAATGCTACAAATCAAAGATTACACTCGAAAATTATAAGGATTATTTTAATGCAAAGAATGCAAAGAATAAATACTTTTCAAGTATTTATCGCAAGGGGCTTGTATTTACAAAAATATTTTTTCCTATTATATTACATTCATATTCGTGTATTTTCAAATTTAGATAAGTAACTTTAGAATTTATGAGCAATCACTGTATTTATTGTATTTATTTATATTGGCGGCCATTTTATAACACGACACAGACATATAGCTTTCTTTAAGGATTAAATATTTCACTGCCAGGGAATCATCCTATTTTTCATTATTTTGTATTCATAGCGCAAGCATAAGTAAAGTATAAATTCTTTTAAATAAATACACATTGCGATATATATGGAATGCTGTTACGTGAAAATATAAAGTCTACGTGCATCATCGAATAGGATTATCGCAGCGAGTAATACTCTATGATGTTCCAAACGATAAAGCAATTAACTTTCGGAAAACACGTCTGCATAATATTAATGTTAATAATGGTTTTCACACGCAACACACGCAAATTTATAACATATAATTTGAAGATTAGAAAATAAAATAAATACATACATTTGTCCAGTATAATTGGTATTTATGCGTAATGATAAAAGCATTTGACATGTAGGATTAAGGGACAAACTTTTCGACTGATGGGAATAATCCATAACTTCGATCGTCATTTATTTCGAAAAAGTCTATGCAAATTCCAGTCACGAAGAGATTCCAGAAATATATATATGTATAAAGTGCTTTCCAACAGCGGCATCGCCTTCAAGAGTTATCGCGTCGATTTTCGAGTTCAGAAGGATTTATTCACAGTCGTCGGCAATCTCGAAGAAAGTAAAACGCCTTTCGCTAACGTAATCCCTTTGTATAATCGAGATCTTTAATTCCTTGCGAGAATGATACCCTAAAGAACCGAAGGTCGTCCAAAAGTCGTAGTAAAACGTATTTTCATTCTTCTTATCTTGGTTATTATTATTTTCATCTAATCTCCGTGCGATCTCGATTGATACACGAAGTCGAATGTAAAAGCCAAGCCACAATTTTCACCGAGCATTTCTTCTTAATGCGGATCTTTTAACATGATGCTATGAAAAACATTCCTTTCCTTTTTCTTTCGTTTTTTATAATATAGTAGGCTTCGTTTGTTTTTAAATGGGATTGTCAATTTACATTTATCTATATTTACGTATAACACACATTGGTATTCAAAATGTCGTAGAATTCGTTAACATAGATAAAAGCTTAGATTTAAATCGCTAGAAGCCCTGTACCGAAATTTTTGTAGACGAAAAAAATCCCGCAAGACATCGATTTTCGTATGCTCATTAAAAAAAAAAAGCTTAAAAAAAAAGCATTTGAAAGAGGCTGTAAACAGGCCGTATATGATTTAGCACGAGAATGCTCGTGTAAAATTTTAAATTGTTTCAAATAAATTTCTTTTACCTTTTTTCTTTTTTTTTTCTTATTTTTCATCTTCTATGAGGTACTTCTATAGATCATCATTTTCTGATAAGACGAAACAAGGTAGGAAAATCTCTTGAAAAATCATTTTCTAAAACCATAAATGTGAATTTTGTTTTATGATCGCTAGAGACGCATTATAAAAGATTTTGGATTGCCCTGTTGTTCTTTTAATACCAAATAAAGAATAGTTTCGAGTAAATGACCGCTTATATGTAAAACATTAAATAAGAAAATGTTTTTTTTTTTTTAATTAAAAATTTTATGTAAATTGGGATATGTCTAGTAAAATTTTGAAAATTAAATAGCAATTTGTAAGCGATTTGCAATATTTTGGTCCTTAATTATGTTGCATCAAATTTTATATTTACAATTTCATTTTGTGTAATATCAAACGAAGCAAATTCTATGAAGCTAACTAAAAATTTTAAATTATTTTTTAAGAATTTCGTTAATAATGAAAAACACCATCTAGTATATTGATGAAACAATCGAAGTATTCAAGCATTTTATTTTAATGAATAGGCAAAGTATGAGTGCACAAATTAAAATTTTTATATTCAAATTGTTAAATAGATTGTAGGTATGTATATATGTGTTTTCGAAAAAACGGAAACTATTGGTGAAACTATTGGAAAAACAAAAGATAAGTTACGCATTCGGTCTATCGATTATGTTTATTTATTTATTGTTTATTTATTGTTTGGACGAGAGTATTTACACAGCGATTTATTTATAATCACATATTTGTAGAACAGTATAATTTATCTGCCTTATAATAATTATCATTAATGTGTTTTGAACAATGGATTAAAGTATGATTTTCCTATTTTTCGTATGTGATAGACTTGTCTACTATTATAAATGCTCAATTATATATATAATAATTCTGCCTTTATGCATAAATTTTCTTATGCAATGAAGCTGGTAAAAAAAAAAAAAAAAAAAAAAAAAAAAAGGATAAAGTAATACAAAATAACAATGGGAAACATTATTTGGGAAATTTAGAAATTACAATTGGCCAAACATCGTTTAATACGTGACTTCCAAAAATCCTAAAGTGTTTACTACTTTTCTTTTACATAATTCACGTGCTTACGAATCTAGTCGTATTACTAATTTCTGTAATGCATGAATTCCCATCCGTAACAAGCGTATAATGCGCTTTATAAGTACTTAATAACTCGGTAACAAGTTTTTAATGTTAACGAATCCGTGAGTAAATAAAATTCGATAATTGAAAAATTAAAACTAATGTATGCGCAATGTACAGGAATTGCGAGGTATAATTTTGAATAAAAAATAAATTGCCAGTAATGAAGAGGGTAAAAGAGAATGTTAAATATATTATAGAAATTTATTATAATAGGAAATTCTCCCAAGGATTTGGGTTCAACATAGTATGCGTGAAAAAAATGTCGATCGAGCTTGAAAAATTACGAAATGCATGTTCGATTGTTTTACGCACATCACGTATAAAAATTATACATATAGCTCAAAGATTATTCAGCCACTTTATTTTATAAACCTATCAATTTAAAATTTATCTTTATAAGCGTAATATTACGAAAATGAATATAAAAGGGAGAAAAGTATCATTATTTAGATAAGCGAATTGAAATAAATTCTTTATGAGTCAGGAGACGTGTTTACGTACGTGTCTTAAAAGAGTGGAGACGCCTTTACAGCTTTGGCGGGAACTAATAAATAAAAAGTCTGAGGCTGCAACGCGCTACGAGCTTTTCCATTCTCGTCGTCGACGGTTTATGGTGCACAAGCCATCTTAGTACATAACAGATAATTAATATCGACGGCGATACGCACGCGCCACTAATTGCCACCTTCTCGGCCATGGTGACCTCGTAAAAACGAGAGCAATTGGGCTTTTCCAGCGTCGATGATCATTACTAGGCACAATAATAAATAAGGATGGAGGTGGCCGGTGCCATCGCAACACTGCTAATCGGCAAAAGTGAGCTGCTCGTCATCAAACGGGAATATACTGCCAGCTCCGTTGCAAATACTTTATAGCGAGTCTTTGGGCGAGGAATTGGGCCTCGGCTATTGGGCTGCCAAGTTATTAGATGAAACATTGAGCGATTACGCGCGTAAGTAAATGACGATGAACCGGGAGTTGGGGGGGGGGGAGAGGGTGACTCGCAAAACCGTAAAAACCGTAAGTCTTTGTTAACGAGGCGAGAAGTAGAAGCGAAACATTTTCTCTCATACGCATCGATAAACTCTTATCTTCTATATTTCTCTCCGAGGTTTTTGTTAATTTTGTTTTTTTTTTTTTTGGGTTTTTTTTTTTTTTTTTGGGTTTTTTTTTTTTTTTTTTTTTTTTTTTTTATGAAAAAGGAACAATTATTTAAAACAGGCTTTATCGTTAAGATTGGCATACGCGTTTTAATTCATTGCTCTACATACATTCATTGTCAATTTATCGTTGTATTTTCTGATTTTTGATTTTTTTTTCACTAGACCTTCTTCCTTGTGCTTAATCAAATGTCAATTGTTAATTATAGGAGAGATTTTTTTTTTAACTGGACAGTACATCGTTCAATATCGAGAAAATTATTTATCAATATGTGACTTAAGTTATATTTATGTATGTCATTTAAACAAATAATAATAATACACATATATATTGTAAATAGACATGCGTAAAAAATCATAAAATCGCATTAAATTCTTTTATAAATAATAAATTGTCATAAGATGCATTGATGTGCAAATAATTATTCAAATTTTTACAGAGAATTAAATGATTATTCATTTGGCTCTTTATAATTTCGAAAGCATTTTTTTTTTAAATTTTCAGAAGAAGAGAACATTCAATAATTGCAAATAAAAGAGCAGTCATTTTAAAACAATTTTCCATTTGCGTTGTGCAATTTTATCTTCCATACTTTATTCATCTTATTTCATTAAACTGCAAGCACCAAGTTTTTTCAGCTTAAAAAAGTTATTGTTTGGTTTTGTTATATATCCAGTAATGTTTAGTTGTATTAATCATTTGAAAGAAATTGCAGCTCCGTGTATTCTCCGACATTTAGCATTTAATTTGTAGTTTTTAATCTTTTTAACGTCTTCATTTCCTTTTCACCATTTGATTTAGCGATTATAAATAACCTCAAGTGGATACACTAAATATTGATCGTATATAAATCGTAGTTAATGTATCCATTAAACAGTTCTTATTAAAATATTAACATAAAGAATTAATTGAAAAATCAATTCTATACATTTATTCCAGCATTGTTTTATCTAATTGTCAGGATGGTATATATTTTTTAAATGAATAAATAAAAGAATAAATTATAAATACATACATAAATATATATATATATATATATATATATATATTAATATTGATTATTCTCATTTAAATATGCAATATTTTATTCATGTTTTGCATGTAAAGGTTTTTCTTTTTACGGATTTTCCAGCTTAAAATCATATATTAATGAAAAACGAAATAATAGCAAGCTTTTGGTCTTAAAGAGTTTATACTGTGATTTCAAATTTCTCCGTATTTATGAGTTATATTTCATAATAAAAATTGACCCAATTTAAAGTTTTCAAAGTATGATAAAAAATATTGACCTTTTTAACTTCAAATAAGATAAAAGCGACGCTATTTATATTCCACATAAAAATTTAAAATGTGATGAATCTTGGCATGTATCATAAATAGACAAATCTGTAGAGTAGCGAACGTTGGTCAGAATTTTTCATTCAGATAAACTTTGAATAGCTTGTACGCGAAACCTTTCAAAATCTCCATTTAAATGTACATCAAATGATAATCAGATTTTTCAGAAATTTAGTTTAATTCGTTTAGTTCGCCGATGACAAACACTTTGTTCGTAGAAAATTGTAAATCATCGATGACTGTAGTCATGGGAAAAATGAACTGTACGAGCACAATCGTTAAGCGGTTCATTTAAATCATAAGGAGCAACAGAACTCTAATTTGCTTTTATAAACATTATTGTAATAATAAATGTAGAATTAAGATATTCTTTGTAATTTACTGACGAATGGTACTCCCATATTTAATATATATATATATTATTTTTTCCTACATTATTATATGCAAGTAAGTGTTTCAAAGTTTATTGATTTTTTTATTCTTCTTTTTCGTAAAAGTTACTCTTTTAAAAGAAAGTTATTTTTCGCGCAGAATAATCCTCGAAAACTCATGGGCAAAAGTCAGCCATCAGGAGGCATTTTTAATACAAAAAATGTGGAATATATGATAAAATCTACTAATGCTACATTCATTCAACTTTTATGCGCATCGGGTAAATAATGCAAAGTTCTTCTTTCTTCCTATTATTACGTTTGAATTATACCTACATCTTGATGATTTTATATCGTAATTATATTCCTATACATAATCTTATTATGTCTATAGTTATATTTTTATATCTAATACAACGTTAACTTCTACTGGAGCAAAGGACAAAAAAAAAAATTGAAATATTATTTACTTCGTTTTGAAATACTATTAACTTCATGTTAATGTTATCTGCCGATAGTTGATAATTTAATATATACAAAGGGGAAAATTTTTCATTTTAAAATTTAAATTTAAAGTTATTCCTTTCGATGAAATGACATGTTTCCTAGAATAAAATTCTTTATTATTCTTTTTAGCCTTCAAACTTAATATTGTAAACCTTTTTTTACCCATTTAAATTAATTTTTATGTTAAAACGACACAAGATTAAATCTAAGATAATAAAGGCAACGCCCGTTTTGCTATATGTGTGCGCGCGCGCGCGTGTGTGTATGTTATCAAATAGCGACAAATATTATAAAATGGCTATTATTATGTGGTAATAAAACACAATACTACTAATTAATTAAATAGCTTTGTGTTCTTTATTGCAAGCTTGTTTAAAAACTGCTGGAGAACATTGAAAAACAAACGGGAAACTCAATAATAATGCAACGATGCAAGTATAATCATGGTAAAAGCGTTGGTGGTACATCTTGTTACTTTTCATCAATAAATAGCGTTTCTATTATTTTTTCCGGAAAATAAAAGTCGACAATAAGTATTTGTATGGAATGGAAAAAATACACAAGACATAACGAATGTATTTACTAATGGATGGCTCAATTTTTCTGCTTTTTTTTCCAACAAAACAAATCGCCAGTTCGTTTAATAACTTCATTAATTTAAATTCTATCGATAATGTACGTATCTCGAATGAAAATGTATTTATTCCTTACACATTAACTAAGTGAAATATCAAAAGCATAAGGAATTAAGTCTTGGAATAATATTGTACATAATATTATTCATCCTCCTCATGCTCTATGTTTTATTTTCGTTTGCGTAGGTTTGTATTTTTCGTTGCTAAAAATTGCCCAACAAGAATTGATTGCCATCCATTTAATGCGACACAGTGGATTGGAAGTAACGTTGCGTAATTAAATCTACACATCCAATAAAGCGCATCTTTTTGTTCCTCGTGTATTGAGACTTAGCGGAAATTGCGGGAAGCAAAGCTAAGCGTTAAATACCCCATTGGAAATGACTTCAGCGACAAAATCGGCGATACACTTTTGCACCGCGGCTCCATAAAAGTGAATTTCCAGCGACCGCAAGACCCGCAATCAATTAACCCAGATGTAGCTGGAGGGAGATCGCGCCATTCCTGTCGACCTGGGAAAAGACTAGCGATAGAAGATTGGCTAATAAAAAATAAAGTCGCGTATACACTGTTCGCAGAGATCCTGGAGGCCCATAACCGGGGCAGAATAGCCTCGCTGATCGGCGTCGAGGGTGGTCACAGTCTTGGGAGCAGCCTCGCTGTACTCCGGACCCTCTACCAGCTGGGCGTGCGTTACCTCACGCTCACTCACACCTGCAACACACCCTGGGCAAAGAGCTCCAACGTCGAGCAGAACGACGAGCAAGGTAGGGTTAACGAGTTCCCTATTATTCCGGCCGTTCTTACCCTTGCTCTGCCCCCCCCACCCCCCCCCCCCCCCCCCCTCAACACCATCCACCCTTTCACCGAGGTTGTCGCTTAATTAGACGAGATTCGGGGATCGGATGTCTCCCCGAACTCGCGCTGCTCGCTCACATTTGCTTGTTATGATTGTTTAATTAATGCCGAGCTCCCGCAAGAATAATAAGCGTGCCGCCTTCGCGTGCGACACAGCGAGGCAGAATAATTTATCTTCGGGAGGAAAGGTTGGACGAAACAGTTAAAACTCCATTTCCAAGGACTAATAAAGCTCCATTATTCAAGATCGGCTATTAATATTCAATTAATAACGCGACTATGGGGGTAGAGGGGATGAGAGCCGCGTGAGATTGCAAAAGGCAAACGAACTAAGATGACGTAAAGCGTATTTCCAGACCCATGAAAATCCTCAAAGTCCTAATATTTCACGACACTACAATCTACTATACCATGGTATTAGGTATTCCCCGGGTCTACGCACGCGTGTATTAATTCGGCTTTGTTTTTGTTTGTTTTCATATCAGATGTACGATAAGCGCATCCGAATGAAAAAAGGAGATTATTCGCGCGAATTTGTTTGCCTCGCTTTGCCATTCTTTTTTTCTGTTTAATTCTTTTTTTTTTTCTTTTTTTTTTTGTTCTTTTTTTGTTTTTTTTGTTTTTTGTTTTTTGTTTTTTGTTTTTGTTTTTATTCCCCTACGAGCCCTTGAAATAGTCGACGATGATTTATTTATTTTGAAATGTATTCTTTTAATCGCGTATTTTAGTCGCGCGTGCACGTGCGCCTTCGAATCGCGAATGACCGAATGGCTCCGCACGCTCCTCTCTCCCCGTCACTCTGTCCCTCTCACTCGCTCTCTCGCTCACTCACGCACGCGCACTCTCTGTCTCTCTCTCTCTCTCTCTTCTTCCTCCTATATGCGGGCGTGGGTACTCGTATACACAGGCTTTTTACAAGCGCAATCTCGTCAAAGTTTTATAAATAAAGGAAAAATATCACTCGGCACTACAATGCTCGACGTGCGTAAGCGTTAAGCAAGGATACAAGTGCTCGCAAATTAGCCTTCCAATTATTTTATAGGCGGCAGCTTTCGTTATTGCCTAATTGAACTATAATAGAATCGGTTCTGTCAAGCACTTTCAAGTGCCATTTGTCAAAAACAGCCAACTGGCTCGACTGATCGCCGATTGAGTATTTCCAATGATCGTGTATTATCATGTTTACGTTTCGCGTACGCCGACAAAGCGACAACGGAGCTAACGGAATTAAAATTAAGCCGACGCGGAGACGGAAAAGATCGTGATGTAATGAGGTTTAAGGTAAGAAGACGATTTGGACGTGACTTATCAGTGAGGCATTTTACATTTCAAGCTAATGACATGTTATTGGGCTACTCGTTGCTTGAAATACATTCTTGCGTTCCGCAGTAGAAGTCGCGCGGTTTAACATCTCTGCGTTCACGTTTAAATGGTCCGAGATTAGCCAGGATTTCCCGCATCCTTTAGCCATGCTTACCCTTGTTCTATGTCGTGTTTGCGGATACTTGCTTGCAGTAAGGTGTATTAGAACGTAAATTATGGAAGAGCGATTTCGTTGGGTATGCGGCTGGGGCTGCCGGCCAGGTGCCAATTATTATTACAGATGAATGTTCATTTTCATTAGATTACATTTGCAAATTTTGAATTGTAGCAAATTGGAGAAAATTCTTCGGAATTCATCGCTTAGAAATTTATGTTTAAGTTAAAGATGAGCGGTAAATACATTTTTCTCGAGCTTTGCTTTTAAATTACCAACTAAGCTTTCGTATCGACATCGGAGATTATAGAAGAAACAAAAAACAACGGATAATCATTTGTCAAGCCTCTATGTAATTTTGTGAAATGAGAAGTGAATGCAAGTATTGTAAATAAAATACTATCGAGAATATATATGAACTAAAGTTTATGTTTGATTTTAAAATACTAAAATACTACTTATGATAGTCTAAATATACTTCCCTAATAATCGATTATTCAATATATATAGTATTTTTACTCTCATTTGATGTTTACGATTGAAATAAAACTATTTCCCACTCATGTCATATTGCTTTTAGTCGTGTTGCTTTTAGGGTAAAAGAAAAGTAGAAAAATATAGAGACGATTGAAAATATTATTTATTCGACTAATCGACAAAACCCCGTAAACGCACAATTTATATAACTTTCGATATTCCAAACAATGAAAAGTTGCGATTGTCGTATTCTTTGTAAATCTTTAGAAACATTGGAAGAATTTACAAAGCATTTGATTAAGAAGCCGAGGGCGGAGATATAATTCAGAATATTTTTCACTATTAAAATCTCATTAAAGACATTTAAAAACGTTGAAGAACGTCGCTTGGCTTAATAACTAAGAAATTTTCAGTTTCACCACTTTACCAACTTACCAAACTCTGGCCAAGTGTTTTTGTAAATTTTTCGGAAATCCGCCTCACCCCTTTTCCTCCCTCTTCGTCCAAACTTCTTCTCTCGTACAACCTCTTCATTCTCCCTCCGTCTCCCCCCCCCCCCCCCCAACCCCCCCCCCAACCCCCCCCCCCCCCACCCCCCCCCCCCCCCCCCCCCCCCCCTCCCAATCCCCTCCCCTACTCAGCCCGTCCCACCACCATGTACCGTGAGACTTTAATTCTACCACCAAGTGGGCATCTGACAATTTACCCCTCGACGAGCAAAACGCGGCCTCGGCTTCGGCCTTATCTCGTCAACTAATTGCCGCGGTAAATCGACGGTCGCCAATCTTGCGGGACTAGATCTTAAGTTCCCGAGGGAGGAGGCAAGTCGAAGACCGCAATGGGGGAAAAAGAAATCCGTCGTCGTTCGCAGGTGGCGGTCTCACGACGTTCGGCAAGGCCGTGATAAGAGAGATGAACCGTCTGGGGATGTTGATCGATCTGAGCCACACGGCGCGCAGGACGATGAGGGACGCCCTGAGGACGAGCAAAGCTCCCCTCATATTTTCCCACTCGTCGGCCTTCGCCATCTGCAACTCATCCAGGAACGTGCCCGACGACATACTCAAAGAGCTGGTGCGTATACTTCACCATTATAATTAGCACCGACGTTGTTATTAGCATCGTCATGATTATTATTGGCGTGAATGTGGAAGCCCTGTGGATGGAAACTCGCGCCCACGGGACGATTGTACCTGGGCTTTAATAGGATTCTTGGGCTGCGGTGCCTGTGGGAGCTCTTCCTCTTAGCGACACGCTGTTATTACGGGAGCATGCGACGTGGACTTGGACTCGGTCGTGCAAAAGGAATCGTTTTTCCGAGCGCGGCTCAAATGGATTTCAATTGCTATTGTGCGTTGTCGCCGCTGCGAGAAAATATCGATTACGTCGAGGGAAATAATGGTGGAATGATAGTAGCGCTAGAGAATTATAGAAAACGGTCGCTGTAAGTAAGGTAGCAATTAGCTTATAAAGCGCAAGAGAATATAATTTAGAAACGTTTAAATGAAACATTAAATGGCGTTTTTTTTTTCTTTTTATAAAATTACCAATCCTTGTTATCTGTATTTTGTAGTGTTTTAAGTCACCCTTAAGGATATAATTAATAAGCGCCTGAAAATATTCGTTTAAACTGGCGAATACTTACATATGCATTCGAATAGACGTTAAAGTTTAAAGTGAATACAATTTTTCATGCAGTGTAGTTGTAGCGATTACGTCGAATGCTTTGAGTGGATCAACGTGGATTGAAAGCATAGAGATAACTCAGAGAGAAAGCATGATATTTTTGTATAAAATTTCCATACAAAAATGATATATTTCCATCATTTGCATCCCTTTATTCCATTCATTTAGTTTAATATTAAAAGAAAATATTGAACTTAACTCGTTAAGAAAATTTCATTTCATAGTGTCGGGGAAAATTTGTTTCCGAATATTGAAAAAGAAAACCTTAATGTACGTGTATAAACTTTTGCATACACACAGGCGCCATCGCTCTCGCGTACACATTTGCTTCAACAACTTTTTGTACCGAAATAGGTCAAGGTACTCAAGTGAAAATTGTATTAGTTAATAATTTTCTGTTTCATCGGCAAGAAAATATGCACACAAGCTTTTGACATCATTATTAGTGAACTTATCAAAAATAAAAATTAAAAATTAAAAACTTCATTCATCAACACGGAATAAGTTGCGCGATATTAAATTCAGCTTAAATGTTTAATGGTACGTTTTCTTCCTAATATACTTCATTTTCGTAGAGCTATAGAGTCCTAAATTTTTTTTACTTTTTTTTTTTTTTTGTTTTATCTCAATATAAGGATATCAGCCGTGAACGAGTTTGAACTCCAACTAACGAAGCCTGAATTATTAAGCATCAATTCAATTTACGTGGTTGTATTCTTATTATAATGGCATTATTGTTATTGATTTTATTTTTATTAGGTTATTCGGTGCAAGCAAATTATAAATTCATTATTTGCACCAATTGATTAAATAAAACAAGACAGCATATATTAATCTAAATGTAAAAACTATGCATTTAAATAACAGTAATAATGGAATCGCTTTTAATTTCATATTAAGACTACATCACTCTAGATTTTTTAAATTATTTGTTAAAATATGTATTTTACGCTTTTATTTATATTTTTGGGTTAAAAATTATTTTCTATTGGTTGAACTGTTTTTCGTATGTATTTTAAAATGGATAATAAATTAAAAATGTACTAATGAGGATCGAACTGGAAAATCATTTAAAATTTGAATATTTTAAGATACTTCCTTAGCATAACAATAATAACAATATTAACAACAATAATAGTAATAATGATAATAATAATAATATTTGATTTAGAAGCATTGTGATAAGTCATCTACCGGTGTTATTTTACACAGGAGCTTAAAAATATATTCTAAAACTATTTTATGGAACAAAAGGGTATTTTTCATTCTCATTTTTTAGTAAAAGAAAAATATATCGCATAATGTTAACTTCAATTATGAAATTATTTAAGATTTAAGTGATTAAATTTTTATTTTTGCATTGCAAGTTTTTGCCTTAATATTAAGATTTAATTTAGAAAACGTGTAACGAGTCATTTATTAAATGAGAATGAAATTTGAGCACAAATCAAGAACTTATTATAATATTATTGAACAAATATAGAAAAAAATATATACATACGCACATAGACACGAACGCGCGCGCGCGCGCGCGCGCACGCACACACACACACATATATAAATTTAATATGGTTCATAAACATAAATTTAATTTTCAAAAGTAATTAATATATATATATGTTATTACAATATTTTATATTAATGAATTATCGTTAAATTTTTAATCTGCCATTCGTATTTAATTTTAAACACATGAAATTTAACTTTGCTATTTATGTGTAGCAATTTTCTGCAAGATAATTATAACTATATAGGCGCGTGCTCTCGTATGTGTTTCTGCAAAAAATGTTACACTAATTGGTTGTTCTGAAAATAATTTACTTAAATCATAGCTGTTTTTGTAGCATAGTAGAATTTATTTTAGAGATAAGAATTTTCTAAAAAATTTTAAAATTTCTAACGGAATGTTGGAAATTGTTGGAAGGATGATGTATTATACTTGCAATACTCGCGTGCACATACACTCACACAGCCATTAGTCATCGGCGTTATTACGGAGGTAATTAAAATGAAGTTTTTATGCCAATACTCGACCAACTAAAATTAAAAATTTATGATCTTTTATTAAATTATATAAAAGTGAGCTGTATAAATTAAAACGCGCTACAAATGAGAATGATAAATATTAACTGGCATTAATTATAAATAATTGCGCTGGACTCTACGGTCTCGAAAGCCATTGTCTATTCATATTGAGTCAAGCGCGATAACAAGGAATAGTAATGTCCGAAGAATAAAGAAATATCGAAAGAAACGATCGATGTGCTAAAGAGCCTTTCGAGCAATTTCCCTATTTGTCAGTGTTACCTTAAATAAAACCCATCTAATATTTCATTGACCGTTTAATGCCGCGACGTCGCACCAATGGTTCCTTAAAAAACCATCGCTTTTCACTTTCATTGTTCCCGTTCTGTCCTCGCACTCGTCCCCTCACCCTTCCACATTCTCATCCTTGTACTTCCGATTGTACGAGGGATGGACGCTCGCGACCCGCCACGCAAAATGGAATATCGGCCTGTCCAGAGTCACACCCGTGGGAATTCATTATTCAAGTCCTGCTGCTCGAGCTCATCGAGTTTCTCCAAATTGATTGCATGTTAATGCAGAAGCGAATGTATGCAATACACCTCAGCCCGCATCCTCTGTGCGACCGCGCGAATCAACCTCTCCCCCCCCCCTCCCTTCTCCACCTCCTCAGTCACAGCCACCGTCACGCCCATACACCCCCGAGAACTGGAATTCCCTCCCGCGGGATAAAAAGTGCAATCAGTCCGTTCTACGGTTGGTGCGTCATTAGGCGCGGGACGCGACTGACAGGATAATACGGCGGCTGAAAAATTACCGCCGAATCAGAGAACTTCCAGGCTCTTCCTTCGCTCCATCTGCCTACGGGGGATAACGAGGTACCAGAGGTACGGGGCGGAGGTCGGGCGGACCCTCGCACGGCCGAGTTCATCGATTGAAATTCACCGTTGATCTTTCGAGGCGCACTTTAGAGTATCCGTACGTGATTTCATTTGTTTGATTGCAACGTTTCGGCGGCACTTAGTCTTAGTTTGGGCGCAGTGGATTTCCCGGATTTTCCATCGCCGCGTTAGAGCTTCGGAGCGGACGTACGAAGCGCGTTGAAATCTCGTTGACAGTGGCATTTAACCAAATTAGTGGATATTTCGGGGAGGCATTTGACGAGGAGATTCGATTGGGATGAACGCATTGTCTTACGAGAAATTATGGCCCCTGACTTTCCTTACTGAACTTTCTAATGGATTCAAATGAGTAGCGATGATTTTGAGATTTGCAAAAATAATGTATTAATCGTTCCTCCGGCTAGTTAAAATTAAATTTACAAATAATTCTATGAGAATTTATTTTATAAACATTTAGTTGACCATGACTAGATTCTTTTCACCGCTAGATTAACATTCTTTATGAAGCAATTGACGTTTGAAGTTAAAATTTATCGAGTACCGAAGTTTACATCCTTTTTTTTTTCTACAAAAATTATGAATCATCAACACTGATATAATAATTATTTGCAATAGCAATAATTTTATAATATGTATTACAATGTACTTATTTTTTACGCAAAGGCAATTATTAAAATATTCTCATAAGATTAAGAATATTCTTTATTACTCGTTCTCTGTGATTAACGTATACTGCATTGACATTAAATGAATAATTTAATTACACGTAGAGTATGATTAAGTAAATGTTATATTATTTGCGAATCTGAATGGACGAATTTTAATAACTTTTTAACATCATTTCAATAATTAATAATAATACATTTATAGTTCTATATAAATATAACGAATGAAAAACAAATACGACATTGTGCAAAAAATATAATCAATTAAAATGGAATTAATATCTATGTGGGAGGAGAGGGGGGGGGGGGGGGGGGGGGGGGGGTGCGCGCGCGCATATATATAGATATATATCATGAAAAAAATGTCGTTCAATTTAATTTATGACCTTTTAAAAGTAAGTTTGGTACAATTATCGCAATAATTATAGATGTGCATTGATGCAGATATTCGATTATTTCAGAAAAACGAAATGAAAGAATTCCACGATTTTCATTTATGAGATGATAATGTATTAGTCTTTAAATACGAATTTAATGAATTTAATATAGAATCTCGACTACTTGAATAATATTCGAGTTTTGCGTATTTTAATGGCATTTCCCAAATTTATCCGACAAAACTTATAATAAGGAAAGGTGAAATTCAATTTTAAACGAGCTTAATTTACATAAATACATTAGATTTTATGCTATATGAGGATAAACAAATTTTCGGCCATTGTTCACGAAGCTTTTTAATCTGATCGAAATGCAGAATGACCAATAGCGATGCCTTGAAATAAATATCTAATGTAAAAACGCGACTGGAACATCCTATGAAATAGCTGGGGTATCGATTTGCGAATCCATCCGAGTTTGTTTACGTATATCTGGAGGCTGGATAATGAGAGAAACAATAGTAAGCTCCAATCGCGGCAATGTAATCCTATAATATAATTGAGTGATTTATCTTTTACAATTTGTCATCCAAAATCTTATAAAAAAAAAAAAATCAATGAACGGATACATTTTCTAATCATTCCCCATCCCTCCCAACACTACTTCTCTTCTCGTCGAGACTTCGTTGAGGAATAATGAACTGTTGCACACTCGCTTGCGACCATTTTCTTCGCAAAGGGCTTTGACAAGGAATTTGAGCTCGTGGTGAAACGGAGCCTTGGGACTCGTTGCTATTCGGTATTTTGTCGAGTCAGCCTTACGCGTGCATATCGATAAATTATCGAATGGCATACAAGACGACTTTGTCGGCGGTATTTGCAGTTCTTGCATTTGCGTAAAGCATATCGATTTGACCACACGCGCGTGTTTCGCATTGTATAACCCTTAACTGAGGATATATCTATTGTACAACTGAAAATGAAGTGGATTTTAGAATCTAGCGACTAATTTGAAATTGAAAGTTGAATTCCTTCTGGACCTATGTATAATTTACTTTCTTCAATTAACATTATAATTAAATTCATTATCATTGATATGTTTATAATAAAGGCAACGGTTACGTTGATTTCTAATATGTTTAAGCTTAAGTGATAAGATTCTAGCAATTTCTATTAAGGAAATACTTAATAAAGACAACTACGATACGCCTATAAATATTTATAATAAAATTACGTGACTATTATATCGTGCTTATCAATGTTTTAATAAAGGTGAAATGACGAACGACTTATTTTCGAGTGATTTAACTGATAGGCGGCATAACGATCGTTTTACAATTTACTAAAGCCTCTGATTTAGACATTTATTCAATAATTATTATTCATTGTACGTACTATTATTATTAAGAAGTTATAAGAACTTTAATGAAATCAATTGAAGAAGATAAATTTATAAAATAAGCAAACAAATAGAACAATATAACGTATGATAAACATAAAAATACATATATATTATTATTGATTTTATAATATTGTAGTAGTGTGCATGTTTGTATTTTGTGTATTATTTCTAACTATTTATATTCTTTATCTTTAAAATCTCCATAAATTCGTCTAAATTGAGTGCCAACTCTATATTATCTTTAAAAACGAATATTTTCATTTATTTAACATTTTTAATTCTCCAATAGATAAAAATATTGTGCTGTTCAAAGTTGTGTCGGGGTAAAGTGAACGACGAGACGTAAAGGCACATAAAAGGATAGAGAGATGCTAACGCATGCGCAGTAAAATACAAAATGTGCACGAATATGGATTTTGTAGTAAATAGTCATGTGAAAATTATAAAAAAATAATAAAGTTATTAATTTATATCGGTAATTTAAATTGGGCAATTGATAGAATTTGAGGAAAATATTTAATATATTCATGTTTTACTTATTTCAATTATTATTTAGTAAATTTAGCGGCTTGATTTGTCTTTAAGTTTAACGATAATTTACCATAAATGTTGAAATAAACGAACCAATTAAATGATCAAATAAATATAATATATTTCACTTACAATAAAGCGAGTTTATTTTAATATGTGAAATGTATTTATTATTCGTTAAAAAAAAAAAAGAAAAAAGAAAAAAAAAATCATTCCAAGATATCATAATAAATTTTATTTAATTTTAACGAGTAGTTACGTTGATGTTTTGTTCGTACTTTTCACTCGTATTTCCTATTTAATGGCATAAGAATGAGCAGCGTCTAATTAGTTTTTAAGCGAAGACTTTTTTTATTTTTCAAAAATTCTGACCAATACGAATAGCATAGTTCTTATCTTAATTAATTGTATCGTGTATAAATAGTTCGGTATTACTTCCATTAACAATGCTAATAACATAAATTTCAAAATTTCAAATGCTTATTAAGATTGTTTTGCTTCGTTTAATCGTTACATTAAATGTAGTTGACAGTAGGTGTGTGTCTGAATCACTTTAGGGTAAATCATTCTCGGTATACAAATGAGACATCGCAAAAACTTATGCAAAATGTATGGCAACATAGAAACAATATGACCTGCTTCTAGCGTAGCTCAGTTACGGCAATGAATTCCGAATTCCGTTATTGAATAATTAAATAATTTTACAAAACTCCTAAAAGTTGTAGGGTCGAATGTTGGTTACGTTATTATTATTAACCTTAGCGGGTTCGTATAAATGTAGTCTGAAGCGTGTGTTTGGAAAAGCAACATATTTTCCATTTGGTATATAATATTCCAATATAATATATAGGCCGGATAAGTTTATACGGGAAATAAGCTTTGCCATAAATCTTCGGCACAAATTGAAAATAAGTTCTATTCACAATGCACAAGAGTTTATAAATATTTTTCATCAATTTTATAAACCATTGAAAATAGGCAATCGATATTTAATTTATGTACTCGCGCATTTATTTATATTTATATTTGTAGAAACATTTTTCATGTTAACTATATTAAACACGATAAGCATGTTTTTAATAATTATTGGAAAAAAAAAGAAAAAAAAAAGAAAAAAGAAAAAAAAAACATACATACATATATCAAATTGTAATTAACTTAATTTATTATATTATTGTATAATTATTGTAGCGTTATTTATCATATCGTTATAAGCTTTAAGATTGTTGGGCCGGAAAGAGCTTAAATTCAAAAATCCCTCGACGACGATATACTCTCAAATATTAAAATATAAATTACCTATTATTATTATGAATGAGGCCATTAATTCACTTTGTAAAAGACATATTCCACTTTGATCGAACGTGTTACGATATTCACTGGGCACGCCATACCGAAGAGGAACGAATTCTTTAATATAATAATGATTAACTATGGCTTATCATAGTTTTATCCACAGGAAGCTTTAAATGACTTCGTGGAATCTCATCACTGCCAAGTAAATTATTTAAAAGTTTTCGCATTTAAATTTGATTAATCGCGTAATGTAATAATATTGGATAATTCGGTCACGACAGAGAGTCCATGCTTAGAAGCTACAATTCACTAATAAAGTCAAGATATTATCGTAGACGCGTCGCACGCCTTTACGTTACGGATCTTCGAGGCTCCGTAAATTCTCCGATCACGATTCTAAACCCTTCGAAAATTTATAAATTTTTCGACCCGCTGATTATTAGTAAATCGAGTCAGCAAACTTTTGAATAAGTATGTGGGCCAAGCGTATATATATACATATGTACCACGTAAGATTGATGAGACTTTTTGCCAGCACTGCGCAGCCTAGCGTTCACGATAAAGAAATTGTAACGCACCGCGGGTAAATAATGCATTCAAGCGCTTTATTAAGATATTGGAGCGAGCGATCGCTTTAAGTGTCGTTTGGTCCCAATAAAGTCGTATAGTAGCCAGACCACGCGCAAGCCAGAGCCATTATCGACTGCTGCTGCTGCTGCTGCTGCTGCTGCTGCTGCTGCTGCTGCTTTTAGCTGTGAAAAAGTGAAAAAGTAATGGAGAATGACGTATTGTTGTGTGCCCACAGGCTTCGAACGGTGGACTGGTAATGATCACGTTTTACAACTACTTCGTCAAGTGTGGCGAGCAGGCGACTGTTGCCGACGTCGCCCAACACATTTATCACATTAGGAATTTAATTGGAGTGGACCACGTTGGCGTGGGCGGCGACTTCGACGGCATTAACAAGTACGTATGTATGCTAGAAGCCGGGAGGCGACTGCCAGCGACCGCGAATACGAGCCCGGGATCGATTCGTCCTCGGCGTCTTGCTAATTAAGAGCCCCTTTACTTTTTTCGCCCCCTCGTCAGCGTCGGCTTTTCTCAGATGTTTCACTAATAAATGTCTCCTCCTAGCTGCGGAGCACTGCACAGATTTAACTCTGTTTAACGCATATACGAATCTCTCTACGCGACTTCCTCTCATCTTAATCCTTAGTGGCGGGGGGAAGGTAATTTGCTACTCATCAGTTGGGTACCCAAACAAATAGGCACTTGACGATGCCGTGTGCATGTGCTCGTGCTGGTAGAGCCGAACGCATTAGCTTGGGAGATCGCGTAGTGTAAAGCGGGAGGCAGACTTTGTGGATTTGAAAAGTTAAAAACTACTCGGCGTCGTAATCCCCTTCGCGATATCTTCACCGTTCAAGAAGCGAATGTTCAATCGAGTGGCTTAATCCTCCGTTGGTCTCCTAATACTCCTCGAGTTTAATCGGCCAAGCCCATTCGGCGTTGGCAATGAATAACTTTTCACGGACACGTAGCGCGAACTCTCCGTCCATTACCCCACTACGACTCTATTGCGTCCCACACCCACACGCACACACGCCCGTACAGGTGTTTCACATTTTTCGAAAAAGCTCATAAAGCATAGGCTCATCCAATTATTCAAATACTGTGTTATTATAGAAAATGCATTCGATTTCACGCCATCATTTATGGTTACGTTATCGGTGCATAGCATCATCCGTAGCTGCAACTACGTAAGCTTATATCTCGCAAATGCGAATGGACTTGTCGAGACAAAAGACCAATTTATGACGTAGAGCAGTCACGTGGTATTATTGTCGATAGATTAATCTCGTACCTTAGGTAAATATTGTAAAAGCAGATATTTGGGTTTTGAGTTCGGCTAGTATTGGAATATTGAAATTATTGTGGATGGGATCGTAGTTTTGTCGGTTGAGTCGTTGAATTTCGAGGTCTATCGAGCGAGTCATCGGTTATGCGATATTTAGCAAAAATAAATTGTCTACGCTTACGGAATAAAGTAAAGTTAGATAGTACACTTTTAAGATTCGTAAAATAAATGTGCCGAACGCGTGAAGTGTATTAGTCAATGTCATTACTACCGACAACATTGGAGAATGTGTGATATCAATCGGCAGGTTCGTATACGGAAGAGTGTAAATAGTAATCCAGATTTGCAATTAATTAAATAAATTAGTTAAATAAGAGCTTGACAAAGATTATTTTATTTGTTTGGAAAATGATCCTTGCAACGTTATATGATCCGAGCATTTATTAAGCGTTTCAATAAATCAGTGTGATTATTATTATTATTATTATTATCATTATTATCATTATCATTATTATTATTATTATTATTATTATTATTATTATTATTATAAGAAATGACAGATAAAACAAAAAACTGTAATATTGTAAATAAAATTCAATTGAAATTGTGTAATATTTATTGCTTACTATCTTTTTAGTATAAAGTATAAAGGCTATTGAATGGAATTTATATGGATATAATGACTTTTTTATTACCAGATTTAATAAAAAAAAAAAAAAAAAAAAAAAAAAAAAAAAAAAATCCCTTTCCGTGTTAAAAAAAATGTAAAAAAATTTTACCAGAGCCTAGTCGATTAAAAATAGTCGATTTGCTAAAAATATTTTAAGAAATGATATGGAAGCGCATATCATTCAATGCCGCTATCTAAATGCATCTTTAATAAATTTTCTATCAAAGTTGAAATTCATGCGCTACATGTAGCAAATACAATCTATGCTTAGCATAATGTTTTATCGTTATTTGTGATTTATATTTATATACATAAGCCAACGTATAAATATGAAATTATATAGAGTTACAATATTCATTTCAGTAAAACCATACAAATACAAGATTAAAGCTTAATTTAGTAATTTTCGCATGTTTATTTTATTGAATAAATTTTATTGCATGGAATTAATTCAATCTACATAACCGAGAATTAAATGGTTTAGCAGGAACAGTTGTTTTTAATTATTTTATCTTCTTTACTTTCGTTTAAGCTTTGAAGAATGAAACTTCGAATTAGGCACGCTAATTAAATGTTTTACGCTATCAATTCGATAGATTCAAATGCGAACTTTTTTTCCTTTCGTTACTCGAAATAAACAGTACTACTCGGTCACATTCGATAGTATCAAACTTTTTCTCCAATATTATAATATATTAAAATTAAATTATTTATCAATACTTTCAACTTGCATATCTTATTATAGATGTTATATTTTCAAGTATTAAACTTTATTAAATCCAGATGATAAAGTAAATCGGTACAAGTTAATCGTACATTAGTCGTTTAAATCTCTTGTGTCTCAGATTTATGTATAACTTGAAATCGTCATTTTAAATGCCTCTTACCAAGTTAATCGATTAATGCTAATATTTTTATAAATTAGTGTGTCTTCTTATACTACATTGTCACACAAGCGTATACACACATGCGCATATGACACGGCTATGCATATGAAAGTAATGTGGTATGCTGTAGATCGATGAACTACTATGCATGCGTACATTTTTTATGGTTGGCTATTGGTAGTCGAGTGGTAATTTTAAGCAGCTATAAAATATATTAACAAGTTCATAAATAGGAAAACTCGTGATGAAAAAGTGGATTTTGTAATTATTACCTCTTTGAGGACACGCTTATTGCGAGGTATTATGCGTTGTGTCATACATTGTAGTGCATATACGGAGAAAAAAGTTGTTCCCAGTTCCGTGTTTTTCATCAGTTTCACACGAGACTGTCACTTTGAATAAATTCCTTGATAATATATCACCTAGTAAAATTTTAATGCGAAATGCTCGAACGTATTTACTTAATTGAGCATATCGTTTATTTTATGAACTCTGTCAATTTCGATATTAATATTTATATTTATATATATATATATATATATATATTATGAGCAAAAATATAATTACGAATGCAGTTATGGAATATTGTTGCAAAACTAGATTTCAGTTTGTAATAGCATTTGCCGTTAATTTACATTCACCGTCTAATACAATGAATGTACCTCCTAGACAAAATCTATGAAAAATTACATTAAGAACAATTACCGGATGGATAAAAAAGTATCTTTCTTTTTGGATTTTTGTTAGTTTATTTTTGAAAATCGTTTAAGTTCACCTGCGTTGCATTTCTCTTCTTTGCCTGACTCAGGCACACGCCATACTCGAGACGTCAGAGAAAAAGTGAATGCACTTGAGATGTAACGTAGATGAATTTCAAAGACTGAAAAATAAGTAAAAATAAGTAAAAATAAGTTAGATATTTTAATTAAAAAGATTTTTAAGCAAATTATTGGTAAAAGCCACATCAATTTTTATTCAACGTCCACTGCTTTCATTAATTAAAAAACTTTAATATTTTGTGCTTCATATATAAGCATGTAATAAGTAAAATAAAATTATTCTTTCGAAAATTTTCACTTTAGCGTAGTTTTGAAATTGTTTAAAAGATTCAAATATTTTGAGAACGTAGATGAAAATTTAAATTTAATAAGTTATTTTAAATACGTCTCAAATTTATTCAGCAGATATATTATTTTTTTTTTTATGAAGTATATTTTATTTTTAAAAATGTAAAGAATAAAAATAAAAACACTTATTATGTGTCGATAAATAATGAATTTATTCATGCTTAATTTAACGTTGAAACGAAGTATATATTAATATTTAAAGTTTATTTTACTCAAATGAATAATGTTACTATACCAGAGCAATACAATTGAATGAATTTTATTGTATTGTCAAAAGATTATTTGCGGCTTCCTTTACAGTCAAGCTGGACTAAGTAATATTGAATTTCTGCAGCATAGAGAATAATAGTCCTTGCCAAGAATCTTTAATTAATATTCTTTCAACGAATATTTACTTTATTTTATGTTCATTAAGTTTGTGAGGTATCGCTGTTTCTAGTAACGATTAAAAAAAAAAAAAAAAAAAAAAAAAAAAAAAAAAAAAAAAAAAAAAAAAAAAAAAACAAAACAAAACAAAAACAAAACAAAAACAATAACAAAAACAAATGTTTAAAGTAGTTGTTCTTTAATGCTACGATTTATTACTATTTTTATTACTATTTTTCTATGAAGCTTAAAACCTATTGGAGATTTATAACAAATTTATCGGTCACATCGACATAATTGAACGAAACAATTTTTTTTTTTAAACAATCTTTTATCCGCATTCTAGAGCAACATTTGCCTCAAATTTGCAATAATATTTACCCAATAATAAGCAATTTTCAGTAACTACCTTAGTTCGTTACATCACCGAATCACTGAAAATCACACTTTCTTATGTTAAATTTTAAATCTTTACCGTTTAGAAGAAGAAAAATTAAATAATTAAATAATTACAAAAAAAATTTACAATTTCAATGATGAATATATTTAATGGTCGATTATGCCGTATTAATACTTGGATACGTTAATTACATCGTATAATTAATAAGCATTTCTTAAATGTCAAATTTTAACAGATAGAGTGTTATAAAAAAAAAAATATTATGATGCTAATATGCAATTGATGCTATAGATACTCATAATATTTTCCTCGCAACTGAATATTTCTTTTCACGAAATAGTATATTGCAAGAAAGTTTACCCGTTTAGTTGGTGAAGTAATCACCGATAATGCAGTGTAAAATAGCTGTTTATTTATTGTTTCCAACGTTATTCAATGTAACGAAAATCACAGATCATTTGTTTTATCTTATTAAAGTCGATCGTCCATGAAAGTCAAAACTTCCCTGCATTAAAATTCAAGAAGAAGAAAATACAGCAACACAGATGCCTGGCGAGCGGACGAAAATAAAACGGAATCCTAAGAAAAAATGGAACGTACCCCAGAACATTAAAAACACATCGCATGCGATTAATTTTCCGTTAACCCGCTACGATTGCCCGACGTTTCTTGGCGAGTACCGAGCAAAAGTTTCGCGAATATCCGGCCAAAGAACAAGGCGAGCTCGCTGGCATTAATCGCCAAAGTGGAAATTCCCGAGCCTAATTAAATGCCTAGGACATTAAAAATTGTGCTTTCCAGAACGCCACGAGGTCTCGAGGATGTCTCCAAATACCCGGAACTATTTGCCGAGCTACTGCGCAGTGACAAGTGGAACGTGCTCGATCTTAAAAAGGTCGCCGGATTAAATTTACTGAGGGTCTTACGCCAGGTAAAGGAAACTCGTACTCTTTTTTGCTCTCAACGACTGCTCTCGCTCTACTCGTCACCCTCTCTCAACCCGAATGTGCTTCTCTCTCTCTCTCTCTCACTCTCTCTCTCTCTCTCGCACTCTCTCTCTCTCTCTCTCTTCTCTCTCTCTCTCTCTCACTCTCTCTCTCTCTCTCTCTTTGTCGAGCGGAGGGATGGATGGGTGGATGAATGTATGCGTAGGTATTTGTGCGCGTAAGAGTCTGAGTTTACGCGCGCAGCTGTGTTTCGCCTTTGCTCGCCTTGTCGTATCGATTTTCATGCTATGCGAGTATTCCGGATATATATATATATATATATATATATTTATATGTGGGTGTGTGGGTGTTATCTAGATCTGAAAATAATTTTTATCGGGAAATTGGCATTTCACGCGTGTGTGGTTAGGAGCGTGCGAATAGAGGAAGTAAGAGGCGGATCTACTTAACCCTACTCACACCAAACTCATTTCTGTCTTTCAGTTTCGCTTGCGCAGAGCTTCGCTTCGAATGTCGATGTATAGCGAATAGTCGAACATTCTTGTGCTCAATGAAATTAAAAAAAAAAAAAAAAAAAAAAAAAAATAAAAAAAAAAATTAAAAAAATACATTTACTTACTGATTAAATTACTTATATAAATTAGCCTTAATTAGGTTCTCGTAGTACATCTAGTAACTTTGATTAATTTTACATTTGATTAAATGATCTGTATTTTAAGAGGCACATTCACAAAATATTTCCTTAATTTTGTAACGAAAATCTATCGGTAATGAAATTCTTATTTTGAGCGTGTCAAAAAAATACAAGATAAAATTTATTTTCCTTTTTAAAATAATGTAGAGGTGTAAAAAGGCTTCGTTACCACAACGAAAATGGTAACTCTCGTTCAGCCGTATAACATTAAAATTAGCCAATGATCGACATTTTTTTACTTTTCATTATTATATATTACACAACTATTGCGTACATTTCTACGCAGAGTGTTGTTTTTTTTTTTTTTTTTTTTTTTTTGAATATTATTTTTGAATATTATAATAAAATAATATAATATAATTAAATAAAATAATATATTTGAATATTATTTTACAGTCGGACGCTTTTCGTACTGGAGAAACACACGATGCATTTATTTATTGTTCAGTATCCAATGCTTTACATTAAAATATTATAGCAATTGCCATTAATTTCTATCGTAAAAATATTTTCATAATTAAATATGAATCTTGGGGTTGTTGGTGGAATTGAGCTCGGAAGTAGGAATTGAATATATATATATATATATATATATATATTTATTTGCTTGTAAAAAATACTTTATACGATACTTTCGTACGCTTTATGAGCGCAGTCGTGCATTTCTAAAAGCGCGTAACAAATAAAAATAATTAATTGAAAAATCAAAAATAATGTTTACGTTTTAAGCATACATTTGGGACTGCGAGAATGTTATTGCAATGAACAATTTCAATTTTATGTGCTCGCATTGTGAATTTTCAAATTTGTTGTAATTTGTGCTTTACAATTTTAATAGATCGAAAGAAGGCAACGCACATATAGAACAATGTAACTAATGTTTGTGCAATGGCAAAAGATAGTATACCAACAGTGCGCTTACATTCTTTACGAAGCTAGCTACGTTGGATGCCTCGGGGGCTTTTGAGAGAGGAAAAAAAATTATTTTACAAAGTTATTTACTACATTATTTTAAATTAAAGGTAGCTAAATTTAAAGTGAAATTGCAACTACGAAATTATTTTCATGTTCTTGAAATAAAAGTGAGATCTATGAGTTTGTGCGCGAAAGCAGGTGCAAATAACAAAGAGCATTCGTATTGTATTAGTAGCTGTGAATATATATTTCGAGGGATGCAAAAATATCTGAAAGAAGGCACAAAGCGAGATCTTCCAAGTTTTATCTCGGAATTACGAAGCAATTGTTTAATATTCAATTGTTTTAACGTATGCCTCGCAGTTACTCTGTTCTTTTATGACAATTGTTCGTTCGAGGGCCCACTTTATTAAACGCGGTGTTGTGCTTTTCGGGCACAATTGGGACGTCGAGTCGACAATACCCGTGAGACCAAAAATTGATATCTTATTAAAGAATCGAGTGCACGTAGGCTCGCGAGACATAATCAGTAGTAGTAACGCGTGCTTGTCTTCGTTAATATGCTTTTATCGGGTTACGTAAGCAGAGACTCATCTACCGTACCGCTCGAGCGTTCACTCGTTCTTTATATTAACGTTTTTACTGACTCTCTCGTACGATAAATCGCTCGACTTTTCCGTTTAATTTTTTTTCATTTGCCTTGAACGAACTTTAAAGCCAATCGCATTGCTTATTATTATTATCGTTACTATTATTGTTGTTGTTGTTGTTGTTGTCGTTGTTGTTGTTGTCGTCGTCGTCGTCGTCGTCGTCGTCGTCGTCGTCGTCGTCGTCGTCGTCGTCGTCGTCGTCGTCGTCTTCGTCGTCGTTGTTGTTTTTCCCTGCTTTGCTCGATTGATTTACCCTAGTGATCGCTGCTACTACTCCTTCTCCCCTGCGATCCCGGACTCTGCATCTCTTTTTAGCTAGATAATTTTCTAATCTAATGAGTAAGCTACTGAGCGTTTGCAAGTTTTTATTTAAGGAGCAAAAAATTTGTTATATTCGTTGGAATATGAGAGCGAAATATTCTGCCGCTTCGTTCTCGTCAATTTCAGTCAAATGCTGTGCGAAGATAATTTTATTATACGTCGTAGTACATTATGTGCGTCAACAGCATTCACCGAAGAAGTTTATTTAATACGGTAAATTGTGAAAATGCGTTAATTGCACTTTGGAAAATTATTTTTGAAGAACGCGCTTTTAACGTCACTTTGTTGTAATCTTTGCTCAAACACAAAGCACATCCTGCAATGTCAACTACAACAATTTTCGTGCATTTACAAACTTGGAAACATGCAGTAGCTGTAAGGAAGTCTTGCCTACTTTCCATAACTAGTAGGAGAAATTCTCATAGTTTCGCACTCCACCAATGACTCGATCTTTTTTCGTTTAGTAATAACTTTAACGTTAATGTATTACAAAAAAAAAAAAAAAAAAAAAAGGAGAGGGGGGGGGGGGGGGGGGGGGGGGGGGGGGTCGAGTTTAAAATTGCGAGTAGTATATGGGAATAGCACGTTTCATCTCCTGAATTTCTCTCTATTTCCCGAAGATCCTTGGATTTATTTATCCATTTGCTTGCGCAGATTTACATTCTCGTGGACGCAGAAACAAATGATTTTCTGGCATCGATACTCCACTTTTGTATCTCAATTTTGTCATTTATTAACTTTAGTGCCTCTGGCTTGCTCGCTACTCCCATTGTTTCTTATGCTAATACGTGATTTTTCATCCTTCTTATAATGTAATTTAAATACTTTTAGTCAGCAGGATATGAAAATTTGTGCTTGCGAATGGCAAAGTCAAATCGATATATTTACGAAAGAGAAGCGGAGATTAAAGCGTTTTGTATATTTGCCAACGGTTATGGGTACGAGCGAAGCCCCACATCGGTAACAACGCCCTCGGAGCCGTTAATTTCACCGGAATTCCCAAAGAAATTTACACCTACCTTTCCCATGTAATCCGTCAATGACAGGCTAAAGAAAGAAGAAAGATTATCGAGAGTCGTAGGTATAATAGTCCCCGATGTTCCTCTTGAATTGCAGGTAGAGCGTGTGAGGGACGAGATGAGGAACGCCGGAGTGATGCCGTCCGAGGAGGTCCTGGATTCCCCAGACACGACCGGCGTTTGCTCCCTGGACATAAACTCCGTACAGCGAGCCATGGAAGTGTAAACAAAAAGAAAAGCAAGCAGAACTAAACAAAAAGCAGCATGCACGAGCGCGTCCACAGCCGTGTTTACGCTCGCGCGTATGTGGTAGAAAGACAAAGGTGTGCGACGAATGAAGAGGAGACCGGGCGAGGAGAGGTAACCTTTTCCTACGACTTCCCCCCGTGCGCGTATTTCCCTCCCACATTACGAAAAGGCTGAGCCACGGTCTCTCGTGACTCTCTAATGAAAATATATATTACCAATCTCGTGTGTGTACTGAATAAAGTTAGTGTTGTTATCGACTTCCGGACTTTCTTTCTGACCTCGCGCTTACGTATCACCTTATGGCGATTCATTGGCCCGAAGATCGCATCACCAAGACAAACAGCGACATGTTCGAGGATATACGCTTATTTTGACGTAAATTAAAAAGTGCTGCTCCAAATAACGCAACGAGAGATATCATGTAATTTACCAACTTCCTTACGTACATTTTTATTTATCCCTGATATTTTGTCGTCCCTTCTTTTCTTTTTTTCCCCCTTTTCTTTTCTAGACTAGAGATGCCCTTCATCAACATTGTTATTATTACAAATATTTTTCTTCTTCCCACCTCCTCTACCTATTATTATTACTATTACTATTACTATTACTATTACTATTACTATTATTATTATTATTTTTTTTTGTGGTTATAGTTGTTATAGTTGTTGTTGTTGTTGTTGTTGTTGTTGTTGTTGTCGTTGTTTTTGTCGTTGTTTTTGTCGTTGTTGTACCGGAGACATTATTACAGGAATTTTGCCGAGGAATCGAACAATTATGTTAGTCGTGAAATAAAAATCGTCTCTACAAATTTTAAACAAACAAATAACTGCAATATTATAATATGACTTTTGAAATTTAGCCGACATTTTTATATATCCGTAATATCCGAAAATAACGAAGATTAACATTCGTAGTATAACATCAAAGTATAAATGTTGATAAACGCATTTAATTGACTATACTTTTAATGAATTATAGACTTTTTAGCGGATGAGTTTTGAGAATTAGTTATTCGATGAAAGTTTGACCATTTTATCATTAAAATGAAAATAAATGTTAATTCAATTCGGTCACTAGAGGGTCGAGTATTTGAATAGCCCATACCCAGGAATACCTGACGATCGATTCCAAGGATTCGAAATTCAACGTCATCCACAACTTTAAGCTCGGCGGGAGTATCGTTCGATTATTCGGTGAAATTACAGGCTCTTCGACTCGGAATCTCGTCTACGTGTCGTGTCTTATAGTGCTGCGCAATTTCAAAATCGACTAAGAGAGCCAAATAAGCAAACTCGCTCGCACATACGTGTCTTTTAAGCCCCGTGGCCCCTTGTGCATGAATAACTGGGCGCCCCGATTTTGACTCGGAACCACTATCTCCACCATAGTGCATTCACAGAATCGAGGATGGTGTGTGTGTGTGTGTGCGCGTGTGTGCGCGCGCGTGTGTGTGTGCGCGTGTGTGAGAGAGAGAGAGAGAGATATCTGACTGGTGGGATACGCGGTCGCGCCCGTATATATGGGCAACGGCAACGCGTCGCCTAGAGTTTCCATCTTCGAGTAGATCTTGGTACGGAGGGATTTGTGGACGTGTGTAATTGACTGAGAAAACGTCAGAAGTGCGAGGTTACATCCATTTTACCATTTTGACCGCTGTTTCTGCTGTTTCTCGGAGTACATCGAGCGCTAGACGTACTTTCTCCTGGGCTCAAACTAAGTCCAAAGTAGCTGACGCACTAGTAATTGCGAGTCCCAATCTGCGGCTAAATTTAAAAAAGGGCTAAAATCTTGAAAACATTCATATAACATTCTACTCTTTCGCACCGATAAATTATAATTCTGCTCTCGAACGAAATAAATCAACTTAATTTTGAACTAAATCAGTCGAGACACTCTCGCTTCGTTTCATTCCATTTGAAAGAATAACTGTAATTTTCAATGGCGTATTTTTCAAAAAAATATATTTTTAAATGGTCTCCTTGTTGGATTAAGTACACCGAATAAAGTCTTTACTATTATTTTATTATTATTACTATTATTATTATTATTTTTTTTTTTTTTTTTTTTTTTTTTTTGAAAATATCTAAAACTTTTGAAGTTACAGACTTGAGCTGTTTGGTAAAATTAGTTAAGGGTTTAGGGCTGTGCAAATGAGTGAAAAATAAGCTTTAATAAAGTAGCGAATAGACGCGTAGAATTGAACAATTGTATGGGAAAGTTAGCGAAGCCCTTTAATTCAGTTAAAATCATTTTTCCGGTATTAGAACTATGGAAGCTAAAACGAATGAAAAAGAGAGAACGAAAAAATAATAATAATAATAAAATTTGAAAGTAAAAAATTATTGATCAATCCACACACGCTGTTGCTTCGTATTAACAACAACAAAAAAAAAAAAAAAAGAAAAAAAAAAGGTGCAATATTTATTTATTTTTTCTTTTAATCAAACGGCTAGGGTTTCAATGCTTCTATTTGCATAAAGAAGTTTTGGCAGCTTTGCAAGTTAAACTACACTGGCTTTACAATTTAGTTGGAAAAAAAAAAAACAAAAAAAAAACCAAAAAAATCAAACAACAACTAATTTGGAAACTAAGGGAATTCCAAACATGTAGAATTATAAATCGATCGATGTACTTTATAAGCTCCTCAAATTCCTCCCTCGCCCGCGTACACCTCTCCCTCCCCCCTCCGCCGTCGTAGCACAAATGACAAAACAATTTACAATTTGTAATCAGCCGTACTTGGAAATATCATTTGTGCGCACAGTCACCGCTAGCAATGTCAAGCGCTTATAACGTAAAAGAATACGTTTACCGAGGGATTATTCCGGATTCGTAGTCATATCTATTTCTGAGAGTAACAGCGATATTTCAGAAAACAAATTTGCATTGGCTGCCACTCACTACTTCGGCGTAGCCTCAAATTTTCTATGTGTATTTAACGAACGGTTGTGATTCTCATTTAAATTCGTACTTTGTCTTTTTATACGTGGAAGACGTCAGAATCATGGGGGTGGATTGTGTCGTTATTATTGTTATTGTTGTTGTTGTTTTTGATGTTGTTTATTTAATTTTGTTGTTTTTATTGTTTTTTGTTATGTATACACACGCGAAGAAGGAAACGGGCGAAATGGAAGAAAAACATTCATCAACAATGTGTATATTTTTGTTGTAATATTTGTACGTATATACCCTAAACCGCATGGTACATAAAAGTGGGAAGTACGTGGGTGAAACGACCGCAAAAGAACAATTAATACGATCCCTTGTAAAATACCGACCGCTTCTATTTATAATAAATAAAAACAAAAAGGAAAAAAAAAATGATGAAAAAACGTCGTCATTATAATTGTAACTATTAAATCCTTATCTCGAATGTATTTAATGGTTAAAAAAGCGACC